CAAAAGCGAACGAAGATTACCCGTGACATGACCAACATCTCATCACCGCTATCGCAGGCTAGCTGTAAATCCCCAAATCGAGCGGAAAGAAGACGTAGATATCGCTACCTAGCTGTGAACTACAACAGAAAGTGGCAGGCGCTTAGTTAAAGGCAAAAAAAATTTTTTTTATCACCCGGGGGGGGGGGGGGGGGGGGGCATTGATCGCCAATCACCTACGTAACACGCAAAATAGACAACTACGCTACCAAGGACTCTGCCCAGTTATATCTTCCTCTCCGAATGATTGAAACATTATTATGTTGTGACATTGTTAAAAAAGAAATAGTTTAGAAAAATGAGAAATGTATGTTGCGCGGCAATTTAATTAGTATGGTATATTTATGTGTTACACTTATGAAATAAAAAAATTGCATTACCACCCCTTGGGCTTCTGATGCTAAACCCTAGGGACTCAAAGAATGAATGTTTGATGCTGCTTGATGCCTGATGTGACGTTACTGTTGAACAAGTTTGTGCCTAATGTTGCACCAGTGTCCTGAAAGTGAACAGTGTGTATTTAATATTTCCAGGTGAGGAAGTACTTTGAACCATCAACGTTTCACAGTAATCATGGATCTCTGGTTATAGACAAGTATCGCCTCTGACCCCAGCCAACTTGTGTGGTTCGTGACTCATACATGGTGGTTTAGAGAGAAATCTGTTGCCTTCAAGGCATGCTTGCAGACTTACAGTGTGATTTCTGTACAGGAAGGAATGTTGCTCTCAAAATGACAAATATTTGTGTCAAATTTGTTGACTCAAGCACCACAGATATGATCACAGGAAGTTGATTCTGGCAATCTTTGCGGGACGTTTTTTGTTTGAGTTTACTACTATGAAGACAATTATGTTTATTTATTTGATTAATTTTTTTTGCAGAATCATTTTTATTTCAGATATATCTTGAACAAGGACAAAGAATAGACCCCCCGCCCCCAACCCACCCCCATCCTTTCTCCAAACTAGCATGCCATAAAAGATGACTAATTAGGGAGGTATCCTTGGAAGCTAGAGTGCATCTTCTGAGATTAAAGGAAACCAGCAGTCTGCATACAAATAAGCCATATCTGGAAAATGGATGTGCACACAAATTTTAAGTTCTGGAACACGACTGAAGTTCAGAAGTGGGTGAATAACCAGAACTTTCCTGCTGAAGTTACAACCTGGCAACACTAGAAAGAAGAGGATACTTTGAACACTATGTGAAATAATGCTGTTGGCTCTCTCTGTTCTTTCTGTTGAGGTTTGTTGGTAGACACAAAAAAGTGATGTTTGAGGTCACTGCAGGGTTTTGTTGGCTCTCTCTGCTCTTTCTGTTGAGGTTTGTTGGTAGACAGAAAAACTGTTTGAGGTCAGTGCAGGGTTTTGTTGGCTGTCTGCTCTTTCTGTTGAGGTTTGTTGGTAGACAGAAAAACTGTTTGAGGTCAGTGCAGGATTTTGTTGGCTGTTTGCTCTTTCTGTTGAGGTTTGTTGGTAGACAGAAAAACTGATATTTGAGGTCAGTGCAGGGTTTTGTTGGCTGTCTGCTCTTTCTGTTGAGGTTTGTTGGTAGACAGAAAAACTGTTTGAGGTCAGTGCAGGGTTTTGTTGGCTGTTTGCTCTTTCTGTTGAGGTTTGTTGGTAGACAGAAAAACTGATGTTTGAGGTCAGTGCAGGGTTTTGTTGGCTGTCTGCTCTTTCTGTTGAGGTTTGTTGGTAGACAGAAAAACTGATGTTTGAGGTCAGTGCAGGGGTTTTTTGGCTGTCTGCTCTTTCTGTTGAGGTTTGTTGGTAGACAGAAAAACTGATGTTTGAGGTCAGTGCAGGGGTTTGTTTGCATGAATGTGTACCAGACAGTGTGGACAGTCTCTTGCTTGATATCGACCATACCACCGCCACAAGCTGACTCTTACCCACACAGGACTAGAGCTGTATGCCCAAACCTGCAGCAGGTGTGGCTTTGACCTATGTAAAGTATGTGGACACTATGGTTTCAATCCTTGGTGAAGTTGTCAGCTTTTCGGTGGCCACTGCACTAGCCATACGGCCGACATGTTCATGCTCACATGACACACACACATGCATGCACACACAAATACACACACACACACATGCATGCACACATACACACACATGCATGCACACACAAATACACACACACACACATGAATGCACACATACACACACACACACATGAATGCACACATACACACACACACACACATGAATGCACACATACACACACACACATATGAATGCACACATACACACACACATGCATACACACACACACACACATGAATGCACACATACACACACACACATGCATGCACACACATGCATGCACACTCAAATACACACACACACACATGCATGCACACACAAATACACACACACACATACACACACATGCATGCACACACAAATATACACACACACACACATGAATGCACACATACACACACACACACATGCATGCACACACATGCATGCACACATACACACACACACATGCATGCACACACAAATACACACACACACATGAATGCACACATACACACACACATGAATGCACACACAAATACACACGCACACATGCACACACACACACCATCATCATTGCAGAACAGTGTAAGCAGGGCAGTTATAGCAGTTCTTCTGTTTGTTTTATTTACATATACATGTGTATGTTTTGTTAACACTCACATGTGTATGTTTTGTTAACACTTACATGTGTATATGTTTTGTTAACACTTACATGTGTATGTTTTGTTAACACTTACATGTGTATGTTTTGTTAACACTTACATGTGTATGTTTTGTTAACACTTACATGTGTATGTTTTGTTAACACTCACATGTGTATGTTTTGTTAACACTCACATGTGTATGTTTTGTTAACACTTACATGTGTATGTTTTGTTAACATTTACATGTGTATGTTTTGTTAACATTTACATGTGTATGTTTTATGAGTTTTTTTTTTTTTTTTGTATAGCAGTATCAATGGTCACGAACTTAATTTTCTTTTCTTTGACTGGTTTTATAAACCGAGGTGTTCACATTCGGAAATAATTTTTTCAGTCAAAATGTATGCACATCCAATTAATCAGTTTGCCAGCCCCAGAAACGTATAACTTGTGTGGATTTGTGTGTGGCAAACATATTCATATAACATATAGAGTATCAGTTTAACTTTGTGGTTGATGGTTACTGGTACTGCCAGATGAATGAGCAGGAGATGGAAGAAGTCTGTTCCTTCCAAGGAAAGTTTCATTCCAAAACAACATCTGTCCACTCTGTTGGTATTTCTGGTGTTTTCTTCTCTTGTTTGTATCTAAGAAAATGGTTTGATTGCTGGCAGGACAGCTGACATGTTTACAAAAAAACTATACATAGACCTTTGTTGAATAACTATCCATAGACCTTTATTGAATAACTATCCATAGACCTTTGTTGGATAACTATCCATAGACCTTTGTTGGATAACTATCCATAGACCTTTGTTGGATAACTATCCATAGACCTTTGTTGGATAACTATCCATAGACCTATTTTGGATCATTTTCTGAAAATGGGACATTGTAATTAAATATGTTTCTTACTCTGCTAGTCAGTTTTGTTAAATGATACTTGTTAATGAAATCATTCACTTGACTCTACTTGCTAAACAAAAGTCTTTAATCTCAGCACTTGAATCAGGTACCACCTCATCTCCCTCCACTCCTGATTGCTCTACATCCTCTCTTAAGTGCTCTCCCTTTCCTGATTGCTCTCCTAAGTGCTCTCCATCCTCTTCTCATTGCTATGTATCCTCTCCTAAGTGCTCTCCATCCTCTTCTCATTGCTATGTATCCTCTCCTAAGTGCTCTCCCTCCTCTCCTGATTGCTCTCCCTCCTCTCCTGATTGCTCTCCATCCTCTTCTCATTGCTATGTATCCTCTCCTAAGTGCTCTCCATCCTCTTCTCATTGCTATGTATCCTCTCCTAAGTGCTCTCCATCCTCTTCTCATTGCTATGTATCCTCTCCTAAGTGCTCTCCATCCTCTTCTCATTGCTATGTATCCTCTCCTAAGTGCACTCCCTCCTCTCCTGATTGCTCTCCCTCCTCTCCTGATTGCTCTCCATCCTCTCCTAAGTGCTCTCCCTCCTCTCCTGATTGCTCTCCCTCCTCTCCTGATTGCTCTCCATCATCTCCTAAGTGCTCTCCATCCTCTCCTAAGTGCTCTCCCTCCTCTCCTGATTGCTCTCCATCCTCTCCTAAGTGCTCTCCCTCCTCTCCTGATTGCTCTCCATCATCTCCTAAGTGCTCTCCCTCCTCTCCTGATTGCTCTCCCTCCTCTCCTGATTGCTCTCCCTCCTCTCCTGATTGCTCTCCATCCTCTCCTGATTGCTCTCCCTCCTCTCCTGATTGCTCTCCATCCTCTCCTAAGTGCTCTCCCTCCTCTCCTAAGTGCTCTCCCTCCTCTCCTAAGTGCTCTCCCTCCTCTCCTGATTGCTCTCCCTCCTCTCCTAAGTGCTCTCCCTCCTCTCCTAAGTGCTCTCCCTCCTCTCCTGATTGCTCTCCCTCCTCTCCTGATTGCTCTCCCTCCTCTCCTGATTGCTCTCCATCCTCTCCTGATTGCTCTCCCTCCTCTCCTGATTGCTCTCCATCCTCTCCTAAGTGCTCTCCCTCCTCTCCTAAGTGCTCTCCCTCCTCTCCTAAGTGCTCTCCCTCCTCTCCTGATTGCTCTCCCTCCTCTCCTAAGTGCTCTCCCTCCTCTCCTAAGTGCTCTCCCTCCTCTCCTGATTGCTCTCCCTCCTCTCCTATGTGCTCTCCCTCCTCTCCTAAGTGCTCTCCCTCCTCTCCTAAGTGCTCTGCTGAGAGCTCTTCCTCTCCTAGTGCTCTTCCTTCTCTCCTAAGTGCAGTCCTCCTCTTCTGAGTGCTCTCCCTCCTCTTGAGTGCTCTATCTCCTCTCCTGTGTGCTCTTCCTCCTCTCATGAGTGCTCTTCCTCTTCTCCTGTGTGCTCTTTCTCCTCTCATGAGTGCTCTTCCTCCTCTCCTGTGTGCTCTTCCTCCTCTCATGAGTGCTCTTCCTCCTCTCATGAGTGCTCTTCCTCCTCTCCTGTGTGCTCTTCCTCCTCTCATGAGTGCTCTTCCTCTCATGAGTGCTCTTCCTCCTCTCATGAGTGCTCTTCCTCCTCTCATGAGTGCTCTTCCTCCTCTCATGAGTGCTCTTCCTCCTCTCCTGAGTGCTCTCCCTCCTCTCCTGAGTGCTCTTCCTCCTCTCCTGAGTTCTCTCCCTCCTCTCCTGAGTTCTCTCCCTCCTCTCCTGAGTTCTCTCCCTCCTCTCCTGAGTTCTCTCCCTCCTCTTCTGAGTTCTCTCCCTCCTCTCCTGAGTTCTCTCCCTCCTCTCCTGAGTTCTCTCCCTCCTCTCCTGAGTTCTCTCCCTCCTCTCCTGAGTTCTCTCCCTCCTCTCCTAAGTGCTCTTCCTGCATAACTTTCATCTGTTCACAAAGTAACAACGAGTTCTTCTTGACTACAAGTGATGCTGTTCATAAGCTGAAAATATGGCATCATAAGCCATGCTTGTGAGTTCAAGCACCAAAGCGTTGTTCATGGGTCTAGTCAAAATGTGTTCAGAAATTGTGTTTCTAGCCCGATTTGTTTGTGACTAGAGGCATTTATGACCCAAGGTACCTCTGCATCTAAACTGAATATATGGGCCATTGACACATTTCTGTGACAGTAGTATCTGATGCTAGCAAGCTGCTATAACATCCATGCAGTTGTTTGCTGTCTTATCTCTCACATGTGTCTGCTTCAGGCCAGTTGCTATAACACCCATGCAGTTGTGTGCTGTCTTATCTCTCACAAATGTCTGCTTCAGACTAGTTACTATAACACCCATGCAGTTTTTTTTTTTTCTTATCTCTTACAAATGTCTGCTTCAGACTAGTTGCTATAACATCCATGCAGTTGTGTGCTGTCTTATCTCTCACATATGTCTGCTTCAGACTAGTTGCTATAACATCCATGCAGTTGTGTGCTGTCTTATCTCTCACAAATGTCTGCTTCAAGCCAGTTGCTAAAACACCCATGCAGTTGTGTGCTGTCTTATCTCTTACAAATGTCTGCTTCAGACTAGTTGCTATAACATCCATGCAGTTGTGTGCTGTCTTATCTCTCACAAATGTCTGCTTCAAGCCAGTTGCTAAAACACCCATGCAGTTGTGTGCTGTCTTATCTCTTACAAATGTCTGCTTCAGACTAGTTGCTATAACATCCATGCAGTTGTGTGCTGTCTTATCTCTCACAAATGTCTGCTTCAGACTAGTTGCTATAACACCCATGCAGTTGTGTGCTGTCTTATCTCTCACAAATGTCTGCTTCAGACTAGTTGCTATAACACCCATGCAGTTGTGTGCTGTCTTATCTCTCACAAATGTCTGCTTCAAGCCAGTTGCTATAACATCCATGCAGTTGTGTGCTGTCTTATCTCTCACAAATGTCTGCTTCAGGCTAGTTGCTATAACACCCATGCAGTTGTGTGCTGTCTTGTCTCTCACAAATGTCTGCTTCAGACTAGTTGCTATAACACCCATGCAGTTGTGTGCTGTCTTATCTCTCACAAATGTCTGCTTCAGACTAGTTGCTATAACACCCATGCAGTTGTGTGCTGTCTTATCTCTCACAAATGTCTGCTTCAGGCTAGTTGCTATAACACCCATGCAGTTGTGTGCTGTCTTGTCTCTCACAAATGTCTGCTTCAGACCAGTTGCTATAACACCCATGCAGTTGTGTGCTGTCTTATCTCTTACAAATGTCTGCTTCAGACTAGTTGCTATAACACCCATGCAGTTGTGTGCTGTCTTATCTCTCACAAATGTCTGCTTCAAGCCAGTTGCTATAACACCCATGCAGTTGTGTGCTGTCTTATCTCTCACAAATGTCTGCTTCAAGCCAGTTGCTATAACACCCATGCAGTTGTGTGCTGTCTTATCTCTCACAAATGTCTGCTTCAGGCTAGTTGCTATAACACCCATGCAGTTGTGTGCTGTCTTGTCTCTCACAAATGTCTGCTTCAGACTAGTTGCTATAACACCCATGCAGTTGTGTGCTGTCTTGTCTCTCACAAATGTCTGCTTCAGACTAGTTGCTATAACATCCATGCAGTTGTGTGCTGTCTTATCTCTCACAAATGTCTGCTTCAGGCTAGTTGCTATAACACCCATGCAGTTGTGTGCTGTCTTGTCTCTCACAAATGTCTGCTTCAGACTAGTTGCTATAACACCCATGCAGTTGTGTGCTGTCTTATCTCTCACAAATGTCTGCTTCAAGCCAGTTGCTAAAACACCCATGCAGTTGTGTGCTGTCTTATCTCTTACAAATGTCTGCTTCAGACTAGTTGCTATAACACCCATGCAGTTGTGTGCTGTCTTGTCTCTCACAAATGTCTGCTTCAGACTAGTTGCTATAACACCCATGCAGTTGTGTGCTGTCTTGTCTCTCACAAATGTCTGCTTCAAACCAGTTGCTAAAACATCCATGCAGTTGTGTGCTCTCTTAGAGGTCATCAGATACTTGCGTCTCGTCCTCTAAATATTGGACCACGTGCCCGCACCAGTGTCTAACATATGCTTCAGTCTCACAGACACAAGATTTGTTCCTACATCCTATCCTTCCACCAAGGAATGTAGATTCTATATTATGCAGTTTTCTGCCTCTGTTGTGTGGGCGGCTACCTGAACAGTCTTGTGAGGCTAGAAGGGCAGAATGTAAGACTGGCCTGTGTGCCCAATTCTTAACCCTTTGAAAGAACGTTTGTTAATTCATTTATTTATAATTTTTAGCTGACTCTGTAGGCAGATGTCAGCCTCTTTGTGTTCTGTTGTTATTCTCTTGTGCTGTGAGTGGACCTCTGCTTATCTTTGTTTGCTCTTGTCTGTACATAAATCTGAACTTGTCATCCGCATCCACAAGCAAGCTCTAGAGCTGACCTCTGTGCTCCTGGAGAGATAGACAATCTGTTGACAGCATGTCGCCATCAGGCCTGCTCCCAGTTAATGCTGCAGTATTTTCTAAGACCCCTTGCCATTGATGATATTAGCAAATAGACTGCCTTATTCTAGCCCATGTTGTTTGTTGTTGAAATCCACAGTTCCAGTCATTTCTATTCAATAAAATTGTTTTCCATAAAAGTGGGACAAATCCCACCAGTGTTTTGTTGTCCTGTTTCAGAGAGGTGCCAGAATTCTTGCTAAGTTACACACACAAGTCAACACATGGCAAACTCCCCAGGCCGTTTAAACATTGTAAACTATAGAAGGACAGACATGAATCGATAAGCATTTATAGAGAGAAGTGAAGAGATAGGACACACTAGTGTACTGATGTCTTGCTACAGAAACAGGTGTACTGATGTCTTGCTGTAGAAACAGGTGTACTGATGTCTTGCTGCAGAAACAGGTGTACGGATGTCTTGCTGCAGAAACAGGTGTACTGATGTCTTGCTACAGAAACAGGTGTACTGATGTCTTGCTACAGAAACAGGTGTACTGATGTCTTGCTACAGACACAAGTGTACTGATGTCTTGCTGTAGAAACAGGTGTACTGATGTCTTGCTGCAGAAACAGGTGTACGGATGTCTTGCTACAGAAACAGGTGTACTGGTGTCTTGCTACAGAAACAGGTGTACTGGTGTCTTGCTGTAGAAACAGGTGTACGGATGTCTTGCTACAGAAACAGGTGTACTGATGTCTTGCTGCAGAAACAAGTGTACTGGTGCCTTGCTACAGAAACAGGCGTACTGGTGTCTTGCTACAGAAACAGGTGTACTGATGTCTTGCTGCAGAAACAAGTGTACTGGTGTCTTGCTACAGAAACAGGTGTACTGATGTCTTGCTGCAGAAACAAGTGTACTGGTGCCTTGCTACAGAAACAGGCGTACTGGTGTCTTGCTACAGAAACAGGTGTACTGGTGTCTTGCTACAGAAACAGGTGTACTGGTGTCTTGCTACAGAAACAAGTGTACTGGTGTCTTGCTACAGAAACAGGTGTACTGATGTCTTGCTGCAGAAACAGGTGTACTGGTGTCTTGCTACAGAAACAGGTGTACTGATGTCTTGCTGCAGAAACAGGTGTACTGATGTCTTGCTGCAGACAAAAGTGTACTGGTGTCTTGCTACAGAAACAAGTGTACTGGTGTCTTGCTGTAGAAACAAGTGTACTGGTGTCTTGCTGCAGAAACAAGTGTACTGATGTCTTACTGCAGACACAAGTGTACTGATGTCTTGCTACAGACACAAGTGTACTGGTGTCTTGCTGCAGAAACAGGTGTACTGCTGTCTTGAAGCGTCGGAGATGCGGTTTTACAAACAAATAAAATTCCTTGGACAGCCAGATACCAAAGGACAACTCAGGTGTCTTGAACGAGGCGAAGGCTCCAAAACAACTGATGATAAACGTCTGAAAGGTCATGCTATGAAAAGCAGGAAACTGGAACGTGCTGTGACTGCTGTAAGGATCTGTGGTTAAAATGACAGAGGAAGACTGGGCGAGAAGATTCATCACAGGGAGGCTTGTCAGTACATCAACTGATTTATCCTGTTGAAGATTTTTGGTTGTAGAGAGGCATGATCGTCCACGCCAGTCGGTAAGGCACTTGATGATGCTGATGGACCATACTATAACTGTTGCTTCTTGGTGTTTCTACACAGGAGCGGGCAGATAATGACACTTTAGTCAACGCTGTTATTTAATATCTAAATGAAGTTGATGGGGATTGCAATACGTAAATGCAAATATTGTTGGATGAAATAACATGTAAGAATGTGTGAAGAAAAGATCCAGCAAAGAAGGACGTATGAGAGAAAGAGAACGACGAGTATATGGTCAGTGTGATAAGGGAACAGTTAATATTTACGACTACGGGAGACGGAGCATCTATAGGTGTGCCCGGTGTGTTATGCTGGTAATCCTCAAAACAGGGATCAGTAATCAGATACATTAATAAGCTGTTGGGGCAGAAATGAACTCAGTATGTTTCAGTATCAAACGAGAAGTTAGGCTGGCGTCACTTCACACATGTCTCTTGTAAATGTGTGTCCCAGTTGAATAATATATGGTAGGTAACGAGGCGCATAGGTAATTAAATTATTGACTGATAACCAAATGTTTGCGGGCCCGCGTGCTGCCGGAGCCGGCCTTTCAGTAAGCAAAGTACTAGACGAGACTTTCAATAAGCGGCGACCCAAGTGTTTCAGGTGTCTAGAGTATGTTGGCGTCTGAGTTGCTGTCTAACTTTACGAGAAAACAAATCGTCACTTTCAGCTTGCATTCCCAAAGGCGTAGCTTTAAGTTATAATTGTGTCTAGGTTTATGTGCGCCTTATAAAATGGCTTATCATTGCTCGTCGTCGAGTAGTCTTGAAAAGGACTCTTGTAGTGTTAATGCGATCAAAACAGACAGATCCAAATACTGACCCGACCGACGTAGAAAACTGATGCCACACAGTGCAACCAATCATCGACAAGTATACAACTGATGTGGGTTGAGAATCTGTGCTACACTGGGAAATAAAGGGTAGAATGCGCCAAGGAAGATTTGCTGGAGGAGTTGCTGCAGGAGTTGCTGGAGGAGTTGCTAGAGGAGTTGCTGGAGGAGTTGCTAGAGGAGTTGCTGCAGGAGTTGCTGGAGGAGATGCTGGAGAAGTTGCTGCAGGAGTTGCTAGAGGAGTTGCTGGAGTTGAGTTGTTGAAGGAGTTGCTGCAGGAGTTGCTGGAGAAGTTGCTGCAGGGGTTGCTGGAGGAGTTGCTGCAGGAGTTGCTAGAGGAGTTGCTGGAGGAGTTGCTGCAGGAGTTGCTAGGGGAGTTGCTGGAGGAGTTGCTAGAGGAGTTGCTGGAGGAGTTGCTGCAGGAGTTGCTGGAGAAGATGCTGGAGAAGTTGCTGCAGGGGTTGCTGGAGGAGTTGCTGCAGGAGTTGCTAGAGGAGTTGCTGCAGGAGTTGCTAGAGGAGTTGCTGGAGGAGTTGCTGCAGGAGTTGCTAGGGGAGTTGCTGGAGGAGTTGCTGGAGGAGTTGCTGCAAGAGTTGCTGGAGGAGTTGCTGAAGGAGTTGCTCCAGGAGTTGCTGCAGGAGTTGCTAGAGGAGTTGCTGCAGGAGTTGCTGGAGGAGTTGCTGCAGGAGTTGCTGCAGGAGTTGCTGGAGAAGTTGCTGGAGGAATTGCTAAATGAGTTGCTGAAGGAGTTGCTGGAGGAGTTGCTGGAGGATTTGCTAAATGAGTTGCTGAAGGAGTTGCTGAAGGAATTGCTGGATGAGTTGCAGAAGGAGTTGCTGGAGGAGTTGCTGAAGGAGTTGCTGAAGGATTTGCTGGAGAAATTGCTGGAGGAGTTGCTGGAAGAGTTGCTGAAGGAGTTGCTGAAGGAGTTGCTGGAGGAGTTGCTAGGTGTATTTCCACACAAGAGACTATGTGTATGTCCACACTAGAGACTAGGTGTGTGTCCACACAAGAGACTAGGTGTATGCCCACACTAGAGACTAGGTGTATGTCCACACAAGAGACTAGGTGTGTGTCCGCACAAGAGACTAGGTGTATGTCCGCACAAGAGACTAGGTGTATGTCCACACAAGAGACTAGGTGTATGCCCACACTAGAGACTAGGTGTATGCCCACACAAGAGACTATGTGTATGTCCACACAAGAGACTAGGTGTATGCTCACACAAGAGACTAGGTGTATGTCCACACAAGAGATTAGGTGTATGTCCACACAAGAGACTAGGTGTATGTCCACACAAGAGACTAGGTGTATGCCCACACTAGAGTAGGTGTATGCTCACACAAGAGACTAGGTGTATGTCCGCACAAGAGACTAGGTGTATGCCCACACAAGAGACTAGGTGTATGCCCACACTAGAGACTAGGTGTATGTCCACACTAGAGACTAGGTGTATGTCCACACAAGAGACTAGGTATATGCCCACACAATAGACTAGGTATATGCCCACACTAGAGACTAGGTGAATGACCACACTAGAGACTAGGTGTATGCCCACACTAGAGACTAGGTGTATGTCCACACTAGAGACTAGGTGAATGACCACACAAGAGACTAGGTGAATGTCCACACTAGAGACTAGGTGTATGTCCACACAAGAGACTAGGTGAATGACCACACAAGAGATTAGGTGTATGCCCACACAAGAGACTAGGTGAATGACCACACTAGAGACTAGGTGTATGTCCACACTAGAGACTAGGTGTATGCCCACACTAGAGACTAGGTGTATGTCCACACAATAGACTAGGTGTATGTCCACACTAGAGACTAGGTGTATGCCTACACTAGAGACTAGGTGTATGCCCACACAAGAGACTAGGTGTATGCCCACACTAGAGACTAGGTGTATGCCCACACTAGAGACTAGGTGTATGTCCACACTAGAGACTAGGTGTATGACCACACTAGAGACTAGGTACATGCCCACACTAGAGACTAGGTGTATGTCCACACTAGAGACTAGGTGTATGACCACACTAGAGACTAGGTACATGCCCACACAAGAGACTAGGTGTATGTCCACACAAGAGACTAGGTGTATGCCCACACTAGAGACTAGGTGTATGACCACACAAGAGACTAGGTGTGTGTCCACACTAGAGATTAGGTGTATGTCCACACTAGAGACTAGGTGTATGCCCACACAAGAGACTAGGTGTATGCCCACACTAGAGACTAGGTGTATGCCCACACTAGAGACTAGGTGTATGCCCACACAAGAGACTAGGTGTATGCCCACACTAGAGACTAGGTGTATGCCCACACAAGAGACTAGGTGTATGCCCACACTAGAGACTAGGTGTATGACCACACAAGAGACTAGGTGTATGTCCACACTAGAGATTAGGTGTATGTCCACACTAGAGACTAGGTGTATGTCCACACAAGAGACTAGGTGTATGCCCACACAAGAGACTAGGTGTATGCCCACACTAGAGACTAGGTTTATGCCCACACAAGAGACTAGGTGTACGCCCACACTAGAGACTAGGTGTATGCCCACACAAGAGACTAGGTACATGCCCACACTAGAGACTAGGTGTATGCCCACACAAGAGACTAGGTACATGCCCACACTAGAGACTAAGTGCCACTACGATTTCAACAGTCGGATCTTCATGTGAAAGTTAATATTTGTATCTGTCCATATTACGCTTGTTGATAAACCAGCACTGAAGCTGTGTGTCTGACAGAACTTCTACAGTCAGGACACAGGAAACAGTACTACACCTACCAGTCTCTTGCAGCAGCTGACTGCAGATCGCTGCTGAGAGTTGAGTTGAGTCAAGGATTGACCTCACAGCACTTGAGGCATTCCCATGCATGCTCTGTCCTGATCTTCAGCAGCCGACACAGAGTTCCAATACTGATGGTACAGGTCACAATCTAGTTAAAAGTCCGTCTTGCCTTTCCTCTGAGTGTTGTGAGCTGGCCAGACCCTTTGGTTACACTCATTCTCTCCAGGCCATTATAATCTTCTTTCTCTACTGATTCCGTTGCTTGTTCCCAAAGGGCTTTGATCACATCTACCTTGTCATGTATCCATTCACCACCCAGTGGTGCAGATTCAGTCAACCTGTCTGTCTGTTCATTACCCACCACGCCGGCATTGCCTGGAGAAAAGATCCAAAGTATGCTCACCACCCGTGACCTTCCCAGTGAAGCTTGCCACTCAGCTTGAAGCATTCCTGTCCTCACCTTTTTCAGCATACTTTCAGAGTCTGTTACAATTACGACATGTGTATGCATCTTGTTCTCTAGCCACCAGAGAGCTGCAGTTACCGCCTCCACCTCCATTCTCATGCTAGATGTTGTCGTGTCATATGCTAGTTTGTCTTGCACTTAAGATTTTCCTTTGGCTGTCGCTAAGAACTCCCATGCTGAGAGAGATCACAGACAATGTTCCGCGACTTGGACCCCACCGACACAGACATGTGTCTAAGCTCCCGTCTTTTTTTTCCTCTTATTCTTCTTATCTACCTCCTCCTCCTCTTCTTCTCCTTCTTCTTCTTCCTCTATTTCTTTTTCTTCTCCTCCTCCTTGTTTTTATGCGTTTGCTTTACCTTGTTCTACTAATTATTTCATTGAGAAACTTGGTCTTGTCTTCATTATTTGGCCTGCGACATGTCTAGAAGCAATTAGAACCATTTCCAGTGAGAAGACAGATCCCCGCTGTAAAAATATAAAGTGTTCATCTTTAAGCAAGTATCCCTTGACTAAAGTTTTTAAAACAAAGTGTATGAATAGTTCATCGATGTAGCTAAAAAAAAAACAAATCGTCATAGCTACAGTTGTATCTTTGGTGGTCAGTTTTATGTCCTTGGGCGATGATGGTCGTGTGCTCAAGTTAGCTCCAGACTGTATTCAACATTGCAGCTGCCTTATCTTGTGATCATGTATGGTTTAGAGAGGCTGCTGATAGTACATAGAGTCTTGATGAGATGCGACCACAAGCACGACCTGCACGCCACTAACCGCACGTGGGGAGTGAACGTCTTTGTGTCGATTGTGATCCATGTGTATTTGCTGTAATTTGTATTCTACACCGAAGAGTGAGACAGAACAGCCTGCGCTCTTCTGCAGACGGTGTGCATTTATTTAAATATCATTTGTTGTACACTAGTAGCTACTTAGCTCCAGACTGATTTTGTTTCTGTTACACTGTACCGTCGGCTAGACGCTCGCCACTGATCGGAAGTTCGTGGGTTCGCTCCCTGGCGGAGCCTGACTTTTTTTTCAAAAATGACCTTGGCTCCCAGCGCGACCCAGACTGGAATAGGTACCGGGTGCAGTCCCGGGAAGTAAAGGCGGCCGGTATGATGCTGACCACATCACCCATCTTGTGCCGACTGATCTATGAAATATAGGTCCTATATGCCCTATACGCTTAAAGGCGTGGGAAAAGGTGCTTACTCTGTGCTGTACTTGTCGTCTGAGAATCTTTGCAGGCTTAACAAAAATCTCGGGGCCCAGTCTCTAACAGCAGAAGTTGAAATAGTGTCAGTCCGCCCCGGGTTACTGTCTGTAGGATTCACAACCCAAGGACGAGAATCACACATGTACAAATCTGGGAGATCCCCTTCAGTCGTGTACAGTTTTCAGTGTACCCCCTAGCCTTGACATAATACAATGGATAGAAAATATTTGGGAGGGGGGGGGGCGCTAGAATGTAGCCCGTTTTCCAATTTACTTCCTGATTCCTCCTCCACGAAACGCTGCCCGTAACGTTTTGTTGCATGAATCTATCTCAATACTTGCATCATTCATGTCCCGCTAGTACACATCTGTACCAAATATCTGTTATTTGTCTACTAGAGTGGGTCTCTCAGTTCTCCTATGTGCGCATAACTCTGCCTTCTTGTCTCGTTTATTGCTATTTTGTCAGTGATTTCCCTTGGATGGTTAGCCAAGTGAGGGGGAAGAGGAGTGATTTCTTTGCACTGTTAAATCTCAGAGGGCCGATCACTCTCTCTCTCTCTCTCTCTCTCTCTCTCTCTCTCTCTCTCTCTCTCTCTCTCTCCCTGGAACGACTAGCCACCTGCCCAAAGTGTCGTACAAAGCATGAATCCCATAGCACCAACGATGATTTCTTTGGATTTTTTTTCAACTACACTATTAAACTGAATGACTCCTCGTGTTCACTCCAGTGCACAGAACACTCAAGTTAAGTAACAAAATTAGGTTCTTAATTTATAACGTACCCCAAACAGGAAATCCCCGTGGGAAATCCACAGCTGACCTGACAGTCCATTATTTCAAGGGGTGCAAGTGTGCTGTTGTTTGTGGGGTTTTTTTTAGTGTTCATCTAGTGTCTTCTAATGCTAACCCTAACCCTAACCCTAACCCTAACCCTAACCCTAAACTTGGTTGTAGATAAATCGCGAGAAACTACAACCTGAAAACCCTAGAATTTATTGGGATTGTCTCCCGTGACGTAGTCGTGACGTCAGGGGTAAGTTATAAATTAAGTACCCAAAATTAAAGTTTAGAAGTGAATGTATAACTGGAACTTCTCGCCGGAGTGAACTCGAAGAAGAAGAAGAATAAGAAGCGGTGAATACAGCGTCCAGCGAAAGAAACGCGCCACCTTTAGAGTGTGAGGCAAAAGGCCTGGCCACGGAGGGAAAGAATAGGGTTAAAAAAATCGATGGACGCCATTCTGTGTGTGCTGTTCCCACTTAACCTGCCGTTTTGCTTTTCCTGACAAGTCTGATGGATGTTCAGTAAACATTCTGTTTTTATTCGCCAAAGATAAATAACTTTGTAAACTTGAGATCCTTGATTATAATTCCAAAACTTTCCATTGTGAATTTGTAAAATTCAAGAGCATTAAAAGCACATACAGTTTAAACATATGAAACACTGACAATCGCACAGCTCAAACATCGAAACAACTACACAGCACAACTCA